TGGAGAGCACAGACAACTATTCTGGCCTACTCCGGCCCCTTTAGGTGACAATTGCTATGGTGATACAACATCCTCAAGGTGTCTTCTGATTTGAAAAATATATTTACGTTGATGTGTGAAGATTTGGAGAGCCGCAGTAGGCTGTAGAGCCAACCCAAAGGTTTTGGCATCGACTCCGCCTTGAGGCAGATTTTTCACATACATCTAGATCAGGGGTGGCAACCTGTTTTGGTCCACGCGCCAAATTTAGAATTACAAGCCTGGTGGCTCGCCGTATTTAAAAAAATCGTTTGTAACATAACACTCCGATTTCCCCGAAAGAGATTTTTTTGGGGTCTGATTTTCTATGATTATAATTCCTCGCTTCGCTGTGGCCAAACACACCCACCCATTGCACGTCTATATATTCCTAAATGTGTCTGTTCAGAGAAAAAGAACGGCAGTCGAGTTTCATTTTCGCACTGAAGTCCGCCGATAGACTGTTTAATGTGTGAGTATGTCCGCAGGATAAAATATTTGGCTACATGAACTTCTGAATAGGCACTGTTTAGACTATCACTTCTCTTGATGTTGATATCTGAAATCCCTTTTTGCATAAGAACGTATCCTTCGTGTTCTACAATGTTATGAGCTCGAGGGCCAGATTATATAGGAGTTTAACACCAGTTAAGAAGAAGAAGAAGAAGAAGAAGAAGAAGAAGAAGAAGAAGAAGAAGAAGCGTAGAAGAAGAAGAAGAAGATTGAAAAATAAAACCCATTTTTTGTAAGAAGGGACAGAATAAACAAGAAACACGAACGTTTCAAACTACTGTTGGTCATTCATAATTTATCTCCCCTTCATCTTGAATACAACCATCGCTAGACAACATACATGACGTTGGTCGAATGCAGGTTGTATTATGTATACTTTAAATGTGGAATACCGTCTTTCGATTTGAAAAAAAAAAGAAATATCTGAATTTAATCATATTTTATTTGGTTAACATTATGCTATCAATTTCAAATATAGATTTATACCAAATAAAACGAATGGTAAATCGTAACAAGGCTGAGGTGAGTTCGTATAGTAAAAGACATGTAAAATCATATCTAGTTTCGTCCTTCTCAGGACGATATTTTTTGTTATTTGAAGCCCCACCCTGGCTTTTGCCAGGGGCCGCAATATATGCAAGCCATAAATATGACCAATTGTCTGAACGCGGTTTCTGGGACCTCTCCACGGTGATCCACATCCACATGGTGGCACTTTGTGTCATCGGGTGTTTATCGCTTGTGTGATGTCCTGGTGGGGTAGAAAGTCAGTCAGACAGTCAAAAGACATGTTCCCACGCCTTTGGGCGTATTGGGCAATAGGGCTAGACCTATATTTAATAGACAAATCGCCATTGGTAGGTGAGGTGGTCAGCATCACGTCGAGCGCTTTTACTTCCCATGACTGAACCTGGTACTTACTCATGACTAGGATAAAATGGGAGCCAAAGTCATTTTAAAAAAAAATGTCTGACTCCGTGGTGACCTGATCCCACGACCTTCCCATCCGCAGGCGAACGTCTAGCCGCTAAACCACAGTGACTTAGAAACGCTGCAAGTTACCAACAAGAGTACAATTAGAATTGAGAAAACATTACCTGCTTAGGACTGCATCTGACACCTGGCTAGTGTAGCCAGTACTGTAGTGTAGCCTGTACAATAGTACAGCCAGTACTATAGTGTAGCTCATACCGTAGTGTAGCCCGTACTGTAGTGTAGCCCGTACTTTAGTGATGCCAGTACTATAGTGTAGCCCGTACTATAGTGTAGCCCGTACTGTAGTTAGTCCGTACTGTAGTGCTGCCAGTACTATAGTGTAGCCCGTACTGTAGTGCTGCCAGTACTATAGTGTAGCCCGTACTATAGTGTAGCCCGTATTGTTTTGTAGCCCGTACTGTAGTTAGCCCGTACTGTAATGTAGCCCGTACTATAGTGTAGCCTGTACTGTAGTGTAGCCCGTACTGTAGTGCATCCCGTACTGTAGTGTAGTCCGTACCCTAGTGTAGCCCATACCGTAGTGTAGCCCGTACTGTAGTGCTGCCCGTACTATATTGTAGCCCGTACTGTAGTGTAGCCCGTACTGTAATACTGCCCGTACTATAGTGTAGCCCGTACCGTAGTGCTGCCATTACTATAGTGTAGCCCGTACTGTGGTGCTACCCTTACTATATTGGAGCCAGTACTTTAGTGTAGCCTGTACTGTAGTGGTAGCTCGTACTGGTGTCCTAATTGCGACATATCTGGTGAAGGATGTACTGGGTTTCTGGGATCTACCTTGTTGGTATGTTATTCAGACTTAGATTTTAAATTACAGCCCGTACTGTAATGTAGCCTGTACTATAGTGTAGCCTGTACTGTAGTGTAGCCCGTACTGTGGTGCATCCCGTACTGTGGTGTAGCCCGTACTGTAGTGCTGCCCGTACTGTAGTGTAGCCCGTACTTTAGTGCTGCCCGTACTATATTGTAGCCCGTACTGTAGTTAGCCCGTACTGTAATGTAGCCTATACTATAATGTAGCCTGTACTGTAGTGTAGCCCGTACTGTGGTGCATCCTGTAGTGTAGCCCGTACTGTAGTGTAGCCCATACCGTAGTGTAGCCCGTACTATAGTGTAGATCACACCCTAGTGTAGCCCGTACTGTAGTGCTGCCAATACTATAGTGTAGCCTATACTATAGTGTAGCCCGTATTTTTTTGTAGCCCGTACTGTAGTTAGCGCGTACTGTAATGTAGCCCGTACTATAGTGTAACCTGTACTGTAGTGTAGCCAGGACTGTAGTGTAGCCCATACCGTAGTGTAGCCTGCACTGTAGTGCTGCCCGTACTTTTTTGTAGCCCGTACTGTAGTTAGACCGTACTGTAGTTAGCCCGTACTGTAATGTAGCCAATACTATAGTGTAGCTTGTACTATAGTGTAGCCCGTACTGTAGTGTAGCCCGTACTCTAGTGCAGTCCGTGCTGTAGTGCTGTCTGTACTATATTGTAGCCAGTACTGTAGTGTAGCCCGTTCTATAGTGCTGCCCGTACTATAGTGTAGCCCGTACCGTAGTGCTGCCCGTACTATAGTGTAGCCCGTACTGTAGTGCTACCCTTACTATATTGTAGCCAGTACTTTAGTGTAGCCTGTACTGTAGTTGTAGCTCGTAATGGTGTCCTAATTGCGACATATCTGGTGAAGGCTGTAGTGGGTTTCTGGGATCTACCTTGTTGGTATGTTATTCAGAATTAGATTTTAAATCTTAGAGGTTTATGGTCAACTTTTTAATAGCAGCTCGGATGGGACAATCTGGTCATTCAATCGAAATCGGATGTACTGGGCCAAAGGCTCCCTAGCTCTAAATCGCTGCCTAGCTCTAAATAACACACAACGTGCAAATTGCTCTTCAATGACGAACAAAGACAAGAAGACAGTGCACTAAAGATACTTGGCATGCCAGAAAGTTAGAAAGATCTCAAGTGCCTTTCTGATGATCTATTGTGGGATCGATGGGCCGACAGAGATGCTTGATGATAAGTACATCAGCTCACTGTTTACTTATTATATACTTATTATTTAGTATTATTTTTACAATATCATACAATAAAAGTTAGTGATGAATTAATTGCAAATGTACAACATTTGAATATCTATGCCCTATAATAAACAGCAGTGGAGACTGTTCAACAGAAGTCAAACGGAGGATGGCTATAGCAACATAAAGATTACACAGCATCAAATGTCTATGGTTAAGCACCAACGCCTCAGGTTGAAAATTTTAAGGGTAAATTCCTTTTTGTGGCAACACTTGGATTAAGTCGTGGACTACCTCGAGGTCAGTAAGGAAAAAAATATGTGCTTCTGAGCTTAAATGTAATACACAGATTCTCAGAATGCATTACGGTTCGCTGAATAAATAACAAAAGAGTAAAGTTCATTTTAGAAAAAAAAAAAAAAAAACCATTACAGATATAGATAATAAATACGAAAGAGAACGAGAAGAAGAATACTATGGACCTAAACGATCTAAACATCAAGAAAGATTTACTAGTAAACTGTAGCTTTTTTTGGAAACTGAAATATTTTGGCCATATCAAGCCCCACGACGGATTGAACAAACTGTAGCAGCAGGTGTGGTGCAAGAAAAGATGGACAAGGGCCAACAAGCAGGAAAGTGGGAACAGAATACAAGGAACTAGACACCTTGGGCAGGAAAGTGGGCACAGAATACAAGGAACTATACACCTTGAGCAGGAAAGTGGGCACAGGATACAAGGAACTAGACACCTTGGGCAGGAAAGTGGGCACAGGATACAAGGAACTAGACACCTTGAGCAGGAAAGTGGGCACAGAATTCAAGGAACTAGACACCCTGGGCAGGAAAGTGGGCACAGGATACAAGGAACTAGACACATTGGGCAGGAAAGTGGACACAGGATGCAAGGAACTAGACCCCTTAAGCAGGAAAGTGGACACAGGATACAAGGAACTAGACACCTTGGGCAGGAAAGTGGACACATGATACAAGGAACTAGACACATTGGGCAGGAAAGTGGAGGAGGCAGGAGATCTGGCGACAGAGCCAGTTATTTTCAGACATGCTGTGATAAGAGCGACGTTCTGTAAAGAACCTGTTACATGATGAACATTTGAAACAAACTTCCGTTGCTGCGGCAGTTATATGAAAATCTGGTCTGGTGGCAGACGCTGCAAGTTGGGCGTGGACATTTTGGTAATGATTTAAACTGTTCTCTAGAATACCAACAATATTGATTGACTCTTTAAATTAAAGTTCTGTGGATTATTAGCATATTCTTTATGGAAGATCAAGAAACGGAGGAATATGGAGGTGAAGGGTAAGAGAATGAGGAGGAGAAAGGGAAGAAGAAGAAGACCAAAAAATCGCGTTAGAGAGTATCATGTTATTGTTTTGTTGCTATGATTCTAAAATGTAATATACTTTTTGCATTCACAGATCTAAGAAGTTTGTAAATATGGCGGACGAAAAGAAATTCTCGCTGGACATGAAACCGGCGACTAACGGTCATTTAGACGTCGTTTATGGTAAGCATTAAATGAATACGATCCATTGGTTGTTCTTCCTCATGTGTTCTTCTTTCCCATTTCATTCGCACTCAAGCTCTTACATTAATATCTCTAAATAGAGTAAAAGTGGGCTCTCCTTTGAATCACCTCCCAAAATGGCAGCATGCCACATTCTGGCCATAAAATATCCAAAAATATCCGAACGACGGTGTTTGCGTATATCTAAAATACGGACTTTCTGCCAAGGAACAAATCGCGGCAAAACTAGGATTACTTGACAATATGAACATTGCACACGGTAGTAGTAGCAGACGATAAATACCGACAGTTTCTGCAGACAATAGTAGCAGCAGACGATAGGAGCAGACGATAATTTTGAGCGTTTCTGCAGACGATACTAGCAGATAATACAAATGCTCTGACAGGGTCTCGGCGATACGTTACTTGCCGACCTGCTTCTGCGAGTGTGCCTCACCGCAAAGAGTATCCCCCGCGCCGCTATGCGCGGCGCGGATGTGGACTAAATTAGGTGCATGGGACTCACGAGTACAGTAATTGAAGGAAGTTGCAGGAGATGCGGTAGCTGCCGCTCTTGAGTCCCAGCCATCTCCTGCAACTTTCTCCAATTACTGTACTCGTGAGTCCCAAGCACCTAGTTTAGTCCCCATCCGCGCCGCGCATAGCGGCGCGGGGGATACGCTTTGCGGTGAGGCACACTCCCAGAAGCAGGTCGGAAAGAAACGTATCGCCGAGACCCTGTCAGAGCATTTGTTTCGTTATCCGGAGCCGGCACATATATTTTTAATAGAACTGACCCGCATTCGGATATTTTTTGATATTTTATGGCAAGAAATTGGCCAATTTAGCTCTCTTTCGAACGCCATCATATTAAAGCCGCTATTTGGGGGGTTGATTCAAAGGAGAGCCTATGTATGTATATACATACGTTTATATTATACGGAGTTATATATATATATATATATATATATATATATATATATATATATATATATATATATATATATATATATAGTATATTGCGTGGATTTTTATTGTGGTATGGGCCGTCGCAGGTCGACCCAGCCTAAAATGGAAACCAGATGGCTGTCCTGGGAAAGAAGAGACGGCTGGCGTAATGCTGACCACATTACCCCCCTAGTGCTGATAGCCTGAAAAAATATGGGCACTCTTCCCATATACCCGATGCGCCTAAAGGCGTGACAAGGGATCTTTACTTACTTCGTTATATATAGTATATATATATATATATATATACGTGTGTGTGTGTGTGTGTGTGTGTGTGTGTGTGTGTGTGTGTGTGTGTATAGTGCATACCAGCTCCCTTCCCAACAACCTTCACTAGGTACTAGATTAACACTCAAAGCCACTAGTTTTGGTGCAATTAACATTTCTTAGCCAACAACCCCCCCCCCCCCCCGCCCACCCCATAAATGGGCGCATGGATGCACATTTTGTAGGCGTTTGTCTTTGCTAATCTTTGCGGGTGTTTATGTGTGTGTGTGTGTGTGTGTGTGTGTGTCCAATGTCCCTTTCCCACGCCTTCAGGCGTACTAGGCATATAGGGCTTGACCTATATTTTATAGACCAACGAGCACTTGATGGGTGATGCCGTAAGCATCACGACGGCCACATTTACTTCCCAGGACTTTACCTTGGTACCCACTCAAGGTTGGGTCGACCTAGGTGCCAAGGTAATTTTTGAAGGGAAAAAAAGTCAAGCTCCGTGAGTACTCGAACACTCGACCTTCCGATTCGCAGGCGAGCGTCTAGCCGCTACACCACTGCCGCTCCTGTATATATGTGTGTGTGTGTGTGTGTGTGTGTGGGTTTGTATTTAGTATTAATATATTACACGATGTATAGATGAAATTTGTGTGCTATACACACAAGCTCACACAGACTTTTTCTTTCTTGACAAAGCCTAGTTACCACTAGGCTTAAGGCCACGTAGGTTAAGGGACACCATGGAGGGGGGAGGGGGTAGAGGGGGATAGACTTATTGCCCACCTAACAAGCATGTCGTATATGTCGACTAATTAGAGGTGTTTCTTTTGAAGTGAGTGCATCTGCCTAAGAGGTCAAAATAACCAACAGTCTGCTTTCAAATAAGCCAGTTCTGTAAAACGGATGCCAAGTTCTGGTACAAGACTTTAGTCCAGAAGTGGACGAACAGACAGAACTTTCCACCGGAGTTTACTGCCGATGAACGGGAATAAGAAGAAGGTTTGATGCTCCAGTGACAATCTCTAATACATTCTCAGACAACATCTTGAGACTCCCTTATTTGTGACCTGTTTCTATCTACAGAGGAGAACAAGCCCAAGATGGACAAGAGGACCATTCTGAAGAACGTCTTCGTGGTCAGTCTCGGCTTCACATTTCTGTTTACAGCTTTCAACTCCATGGCCAACTTGCAGACTAGTCTCAACAAAGAGGAAGGTCAGTGTGTTACCGTTCAACTGTCTAGTCACATTGTATCTTACATTTAGTACTTCTTGTAACAGGGATCTCCTCCAAAACATCAATGGGCAGCACTGAAATGAACAACTACAGAAGGAGAGATGAACAGACCTTATCCACACCATAGATGGATAAGAGTGTATACAGATTGTTTAGACAAGAGAGCAGTAAGAGACGGAGGAATGCCCAAATGGTTTAAAAATCAACCAGACTGTACCAACAGGTTCATATTCCTCCAATTACAGAGTAGAGACAGAAGCACTTCTGGAGGCATGTTTTTTTTTTTTTCCTGAATGGACAACAGAACAGCAAATATAGCAGAGTGGTCTTTCTGACTGATGCTATGTCAGTTCTATAAGCAGGTGTTAACCCAAAAGACACTCAGTTTGTAGACTTGACTCAACGGCTGATTCACTTAGGCTCTTCAGTAGAACAATCTGTACTGCAATGGATTTCAGGTCACTAAGGCTTGAAAGGCAATGAAATAGCGGACAGATTGCCAGAAGCGGCAGTGACATGGCACAACCAAATAGTGACTAGCCCACCAAGGGACGAAAACATTAATACAATCTATTTTCCAAGAAAGGTGGCTGGATACACACACACACCAGATTTTCTCCCCAAGACTCGCTTCATCGCCTCTCTAGAGAGGGACAGTGTATTATATTCAGACTAAGGACTGGGCATAACAGACTTCGTCAACATATGTTCAAATTTTTTTCGGTATAGAAAACACGGAGACGCGTCCCTGCAGAGTGGCACACGAAAATGCTGAGCATGTGCTCAAACACTGTCATCTGTGTGCTTACATAAGAGACAATACACTTTAGCTCCATACCCCAGGCAAAAAGCCGATAGCCCATTTTAGGGCTGTCCATCCACCCCACCACCCCATATGACAGCCGCCCAGCCAGAACTCAAGAGACTAACTGCAGACAGACCAACCCACCACGGCCAGAAGTCAAAACAGGCAACAAGAAATACTACCTGAAGTTTTAACCGGAAACAAAGCAAAAACTCAAAACCTTATGAGATATTTACTTGAAACGTCACCACAATGTAACCAGAAGAGCCGGGGGCTGATCTCACCGGTCCTAGGATAAACGCGGTCATCGTGAAAAAGTCAATCAAACAAACATTACACTTATTATCTTCCAGTACGAACAGTCAGTATATATTTATTAAAGGCGGGTTCAGGAAGCGTCTGTAAGCTTTCTAAAAATAGCTAAAATATGTGCATTTTGTTTCTAATACGTTGATAGCGTGTGTAACGATATTACTATTGACAAGTACACGTAAACTTTTATCCACTGATTTATGCATGTAAAACATACACCTAAAGATTGTAAATCTGACCCATATGCAGGCGTTGGAGCGTGGAGTATGTCCACCATCTACGTGTCCCTTATTGTTTCCTGCATGTTCCTGCCAAACTTCATCATTGCCAGATTGGGTTGTAAATGGACCATACCTCTGTCCATGATTGGCTACATTCTCTTCATGTGTGCCAACTTTTATGCTGTCAAAGGTCAGTTACGTGTACGTTACTTGTCATAATTAGTCTTCTTATTTGTCTTGTTCTGATTCTTTTCGTCGCTCTGTTCATCTTGTTGTTGAAATTGTTGTTATTGTTTTTGTTGTAGTAGTAGCATTAGTTGCAGTTTAGTAGAAGTAATAAAAATAATAGTAGTTGTAGTTGTGGTAGTAGTAGTAGAAGTAGTAGTAGTAGTAGTAGTAGTAGTAGTAGTAGTAGTAGTAGTAGTAGTAGTAGTAGTAGTAGTAGTAGTAGTTGTTGTTGTTGTTGTTGCTCTTCTTCTTCTTCTTCTTCTTCTTCTTCTTCTTTCTCTTCTTCTTCTTCTTCTTCTTCTTCTTCTTCTTCTTCTTCTTCTTCTTCTTCTTCTTCTTCTTCTTCTTCTTCTTCTTCTTCTCATATATATATATATATATATATATATATATATATATATATATATATATATATATATATATATATATATATATATATATATATATATATATATATATATATATATATATATATATATATATATATATATATATATATATATATATATATATACTGTTCAAAAAACGAAACGCATAGTTACTAAAACGAACAAACATACTTACAATTTTTACATTCTGCACCTCTGTAATGCAGCAAGTGAAATTTCTTTAATTTCGCACAAGAATACCTTGGGGTTCCACTAATCAATTGACACCTTTTTTGCATCTGGGTCACGATAATTTTTAAGCGTAGGTCTTTCCTGTTAGTATAGTGTGTGTGGCCTCCTCTTGTGTGGCTCAGTTACTAGCATCTCCTGGCCATAGATGCGATCAGATGTCTGATGTGGGCCTGTGGGATGGCTACCCATTCTTCCTGGAGTGCCTGGAACAGATCACGACAATTGGCTGGAGCAACGTTTCGGCGACAAACACGTCTTTGCAGCTCATCCCACAGGTGCTCAATCGGACTCATGTCTGCAGACAGGGATGGCCAGGAAAGGGTTTCAATTTTATCGGTAGCCAGGAACTGCATGGTCGGTTGTGCTGAATGGGATCTGGCGTTGTCCTGTTGAAAAAAGTATATGTTGGTATCCCAAAATGGAAGGACATGTGGTCGAAGAATTTCATGGACGTATCGTTGTGCATTCAAGCTTCTTTCAATGTGCACCAATTGACTCCTTTCGTTGTAACCGATTATTCCCAATACCATTAACCTCCACCACGGTGCAGCAGAGCTTCATCAACACAATTTTGGGCGAAACCTTAATTTGGTCTATTGTAGACCCTAAGCCATCTATCATGACGCTGCAACAAAAAGAAAGATTCGTCACTGAACCAGACACGTCTCTATTGATTGTAACTTGCCCAGGGACGATGTTGGCTGGCCCAAAGAAATCGATTTTGGCGGTGGCGACGCGTAAGGACAGCTCTTTGGTGTGATCGTCTATCCCAAAGTCAAAAATCATGCAGTTTGCTTTGAACAGTTTGATCAGACACATGACGTCGATGGGGCAATGCCAGTGCAGTTGAGGAAGCTGTTGTAAACTAGTCTCTGAGGTGACGAAGCCAAATAAAGCGATTCTCCGCTGCTATTGTCACTCTGGGTCGTCCACTGCGATGTCGGTCTGCAACTAAATCAGTGGCTTTGAACCGGTGCCAAAGTCGACTGATGGTGCTCTGATGCACGTTTAGATGCCTGGCAACCTGACTTTGACTTTCTTCTGCCTGCAATTGGCCAATAGCAATATTCCTTTGATTTATCGATAGAGGCGCCATTCATGACTGCTTGAAAATGAACTGATCGTTTTGGTGTAGAGTTATCCTTTTATAGGGTTTCAATTGCGTACACAGTGAATAGTGTTCACCGCAAATCGTGTTGCTTTCTCGTGTGCGCATCACGAGCTATGCTCACAAATATGGTCTTAAACACAACTGACCACTGCGTTGTAACGATTGCAAAAACCCACCCAATTCACGTCAATATGTCCACTGGACACGGTAAACATCATTTGAGTCTGCCTTTCACATACATGAGTACGATATTTTATTTACAAACTAATAAAAACGAGCGATCGGATAACTATGCGTCCTTTTTTAACAGTATGTCTGTGTGTATATAAGTCAGTTGCGTATCGTTTACAGGGCGTCGGAAACAAATCCAGCCTTTTTTTTTTTTTATTTTATTTTTCTAGGCAAGTTTACGTCCAGTATTTTGCAATTGCTTTCTTGACGGTCGGCTTCTTCAACTGTCGAAACCAACGCAAGTCGCACTGCCCGAAACTGGGATCGAACGCGGCACCCCGGCATTACGAAGTGCGTTTGCAACACCTAAGCCACAGACACCGTCTGTGTGTTTGTACATATATATATATATAAGTGTGTGTGTGTGTGTGTGTGTGTGTCCGTGTTTGTGGCTTAGGCGTTACAAACTTAGCTTCGTAAGGACGGGGTGTCCGGTTTGATCCCAGCTGCGGACGGTTTGTCTTGCCTTGGTTTCGACAGTGGTACAAAGAGCTGACCGTCAAGGCAATGGCAAACTATTGGACATAAAATTTGCCTTAAAAAAATCACAGAAGCAAAAACAAAACAAAAATTATTTATGTGGTTCTGCAACCTCCTGTAAAGGATATGTAACTAACTTTATAGTTGTCGTTGTTTGTTGTTTGATGGCGGTCTTATTCGTTTTTCCATCCCTTTTATGGAGTCTTTCGCATTATTCTTTGGAGTTACACTTCTTACCTTGCGAATAAAGTTAGAAAAGGAAAACAGTTAATTCCTAAACTTGTAACGTGTACAAACCACTTAGAGTGAGAGAGAGAGAGAGAGAGAGAGAGAGAGAGAGAGAGAGAGAGAGAGAGAGAGAGAGAGAGAGGAGAGAGAGAGATAGATAGATAGATAGATAGATAGATAGATAGATAGATAGATAGATAGATAGATAGATAGATAGATAGATAGATAGATAGATAGATAGATAGATAGATAGATAGATAGATAGATAGATAGATAGATAGATAGATAGATAGATAGATAGATAGATAGATAGATAGATAGATAGATAGATAGATAGATAGATAGATAGATAGATAGATAGATAGATAGATAGATAGATAGATAGATAGATAGATAGATAGATAGATAGATAGATAGATAGATAGATAGATAGATAGATAGATAGATAGATAGATAGATAGATAGATAGATAGATAGATAGATAGATAGATAGATAGATAGATAGATAGATAGATAGATAGATAGATAGATAGATAGATAGATAGATAGATAGATAGATAGATAGATAGATAGATAGATAGATAGATAGATAGATAGATAGATAGATAGATAGATAGATAGATAGATAGATAGATAGATAGATAGATAGATAGATAGATAGATAGATAGATAGATAGATAGATAGATAGATAGATAGATAGATAGATAGATAGATAGATAGATAGATAGATAGATAGATAGATAGATAGATAGATAGATAGATAGATAGATAGATAGATAGATAGATAGATAGATAGATAGATAGATAGATAGAGAGAGAGGAGAGAGAGAGAGGGGGAGAGAGAGATAGATAGATAGAGAGAGAGAGGAGAGAGAGATAGATAGATATATAGATAGATAGATAGATAGATAGATAGATAGAGAGAGAGAGAGAGAGAGAGAGAGAGAGAGAGAGAGAGAGAGAGAGAGAGGGAGAGGTATAAAGAGCGCGAGATAGAACATGGAGTGGATGGATAGAAAGTTAGGTATCGAGACGGCAGGAAAAAGAATATTTGCCATCACATAAGTAAATATCGGATGTGACTTGAGGGTGAATTCCACGTCTGCTTATTACCTCTTTGAGTCCCAAGGAATGCATCATACCTTCATAGGTTCCTACCTAGAAGCCCAATGAATGCAAGTTGCGCTGATTTTATGACTCTCTTTACTATCCCCTGTGCCCGTGATGCTAAACATCCTGGGACTCAGAGTTAAGTACATAATAGACACTAGTCATTAGTCACACATATATATATTTACATCTACTTTCTGTTCCATCAGATAATCATAAAATAGTAATTAAAAAAACGTAAAGGTCCCTTTTCCATGCCTTTTACGCGTACAGGGCATATAGGGCTAGACCGATTTTTTTATAGACTAATCGGCACAAGATGGGTGATGTGATCAGCATCACGGCAGCCGCCTTTACTTTCCGGAACTGCACCCGGTACCCACTCAAGGTTGGGTCGACCTGAAAGTCAAGATCGTTTTTGACAAAAGTCCGGTTCCGCCAGGGAGCGAGCCCACGACTTTCCGATCCGTACGCGAGCGTCTAGCCACTACGTCACGGCCACTCCCAATCTTAAGATACCTTTTTATGAGTGTATATAGCCATATATTTCTCACACTAATGTTTATTTGCTGGATTTTGTTTCAGGAACCATGATCACGGCATCAATCATCCTTGGACTTGGCGCTGCCCCACTCTGGTCAGCAAAATGTACTTATCTGACACAGCTAGGCGTCTGGTACGCCAAACTCACCTCTCAGGACCAAGATGGGATCATCAATCTGTTCTTTGGCTTCTTCTTCCTTTTCTTCCAGAGCTGTAAGTTTTCTTTTTAACTGATGTCAACCTGAACAGTGATTCTTTAAACCAGTGTTCCCAAACTTTTCTTGGTCGCGGCGCTTTTTTTTTTTTTTTCTCAATTAATTGTTTTCCACGGAGCCCTAACCTAACTAAACGTATGACTATTCGTTTCTTGGTTACATTAATTACGAAGCTTTTACAATAAAAAGGTCGCGCCTGACTAGGGCGCCGCGGCGCACAGTTTGGGAATCACTGATTTACATTATAGTATCGGCAGTGTGTTTCATTTTATTAATACTTGTTAATGCAGCCATTAAAGTTGTGACTGACCGAGTGGTTAGACACACAGGCTCTCATTTTGGGAGAATAATGTTCAAAGCTTCGACATTGTAACGGAAATTTATTTCTGTCTTGGACAGAATAAGTATCATAAACTAAAATTTAACATCCGGACCTGCAAAGACGTCAACAGATATATAATGAGACAGACAGTCCGCCAAACAGACCACAAAGCTATTAGACGCATACAACATACCAACCAACTGAGAGACAGATACATCCTTAGATAAACTAACACGCAGTGAGTCTGATAGACAGACCCTTAGACGAATATAGTATCACACAGGTTAGTAGCGTATCCTTTACAGGACGTTGCAGAATCAACCCCAACAGCCCCTGGCTGTTGTGTTGTTTTCCTAGGCAAATTTACGTCCAGTAGTTTGCCATTGCTGTCTAGACGGTCGGCTTTCTTGATACAACTGTCGAAACCAACGTAAGGCGCGTGGCCCGCAGCTAGGATCGAACCCGGCATCCTGGCATTACGAAACGTTCGCATAAACTTAGCCACCGAGCCAACTAGTATCACACAGACTGGACAAAAAACAGCACGAGAAACTAAGAGACAGAAACACAAAACAGACCACACAAGGAACTGACATACAGCTATAAACACAAACATTGTCTGAAAGCCAAAGATGTGACTCTTAAACTGTTACAGCGCAAATCTGGGGCAATCTGATCTCCTCGCTGGTGTTCACTGCAAAGGAAGACAACTCAACAAAGCCCGTATGTGGATCCAAGTTCTGTCCCACTGACGCCGTTTCTGGGAACGTCACTTCGAACTTCGACCAGGCAGATACAAAGGTAAGTTCACTGGCTACTTATTAGTTTCTCTGAATGGGTAGAAAGCGTCCGGAAACCGCAATTATCCTGCCTCACTGTGATCTATCTACCTAGATTCTCCAGCGTGAAAGGTAATGAGCAAGCAGAACAGCTGGCAAACAATGCACCATCACATACATGATGAAGCATGGACAGGGCATAGATCATCAACACTGTACAGACTAGGTTAGCGGATAATTACCATTCTCTGGCACTAACGTCGGTGTTTGTGGTTCAGGCGTTGCGAACGCGCTTCGTAATGCCGGGGTGCCGGGTTTTATCCCAGCTGCAGGTCCTGCGCCCTGCGTTGGTTTTGACAGCTGTATCGAGAAGCCGACCGTCCAGAGGCAATGGCAAACTACTGGCCGTAAATTTGCTTAGAAAAACCACAGTGCCAAAAAATACAGGGGTTGGTTCTACAATGTTCTGTACAGAATACGCAACTAACTTTAACTGACACTAATATGATTGCATGATACAGGAGTAAAGCATGTTTGAACACGTATATGCCGCCTTCGAAGTCTATATATGAGAAATTATAACGAGCTTCTTATGGGAACAATCAGTAGAGGTACCAAGGAATGGCTGCTGCGTCGGGGAACTCAGCACTCATGGAAACGCCTAATATGCAGTGACGTCGATTGTGACAACATCTACAATTAGTTTGTTAGTGGGTGAATAAAGAGAACAGTCCAATCGAAAATTGAGGCAAGAGAAGAATTTACTAAAAAAGTATATTTAGTGTGGTACCTTTAGGGAAATACATTGCAAATCAGAATACCAAAATATCTGGACATCTTGTCAGCAGCTACACCAACTACCAATACAGGTACTACATTTAAGAAGAGGTGATGAGACAGCAAGAGGATGCCAAAGAAAAATATGGACTGACGATATTAAAGACCTTGTAAGTAACTCGAAATGGCAAAATCCAGTTCCACCACACCTCAAGTTTGTGTGTAGATTAATAAAACGTATCAAAAGAGTCACGGTAAAGGAGAAGAATATAAGAAATTCGGTGCTTTATTAATATCATTCTCCAACCCGGGGAAATCTACAGGTCACGGGGCAGTCTAATATTTCAGGGGGTGGTAGATGGGGTGCATGCAGTCGTAGGACCTAGGCAGCATACAGTCGTTGGACCTAGGCTGCACTCTCTCGTGGGACGTAGATGGATTGGGGTTAGGGCCAGTTCTAAATGTTTTGGAGTCGTTAAAAGCACCAGAAAGCCGAGAAACCCAGTCTTGCCACCCTTTAAAATGTTAGACTGCCCTGTGACGTCATATGGAGGTAGTATATTCATAACGCACCAGCAAGTCTATCATCATCGTCGTCGTCAACACCATCACCATCATCATTTGACCTGATTTGGGTCAATAATTGATGTCATAGAAATCAGGATATTTCCGTAAGAGCACCGTTCTCATCTTCAGCAGCCAGCGAAGAGCTCCAACTCCCGGGGTGCCAGATTGTGTGCCCGTCTCGCTTTTTCTGAGCATAGAATGTCGACTCCTGGTCCCTCTCCGCTGTACCTTCCTCTCCAGACCTTAATAATGTATTTGTGCTTCCTCATCATTAACTTGCTCCTTGACCATGTCTAGCTTGTCCTGCGTCAATTCACCATCCAGTTGTGCTAAATCAACCAATTTATCTGCCTGTTCGTTTCCCAACACACCTACATTTTTGGATAAAGTATCCAAAAGGTGCTAACTGCCCGGGACTTCTGAAGCGATGCTTGCCACTCTTTACAGAGTACATACCATTAACAGTGAGTTGTCATGGTTCGGCATCTTCAAAGACTGCGGATAAAATCTGTGCTTGTGTCCGTCCATGTTAAGCTGTCAAGCCACACCAGATATTACTCTGTGTCTTTTACCTTCTCTTTCCCCAACACGTCTCTCAAATTCCAATACATTTTCATGTCTATTTATCCACATATTATGCTAGTGCTAACAAACACCTGTTCTTGTCTTTTACCTGTTAGGTGTACACGGTGTGTGGCATCTACCTCGGATCCGCCGTTATTGCCGCCATCATCGTGTCCGTGTTCCTGGACAAGATTGTCCTGGACAAAGAAAGCAGCGCCGAAGACAGGAAGCTGAGCCCCAAGTTGCTGGTGTCCACGTTCAGACACTTGTTTTCTTCGCCTATACAGCTGATGTTGATTCCTATGACCATCTACAGTGGGGTAGAACAGGCCTTCATTGGAGGTGATTTTACTAAGGTAACTAGGGTTGATGCATCGGTGGATGGACAGCAGGAATGATGGGTGAATAGATCAGTGAGTGAATGTATTAACAGAGTGATGGATAATTGCACAGACAGACAGACAGACAGACCAACCGACCGACCGACCTCCGACCAGCCTGAGAGGCAACGATCTAAGAGTCTGCATGTAAATAAACTAAATCTTTAAAACGGATGTGCACGCAACACGCAGGATCTGCAACAAGACTAAAATCCAGACATGGACACACAACCAGAAATGTCCGCCAGACTTTACAACCGGCGAACGAACGACGAAACGAATAAGCGAACGAAAAAACGAACAAATACTTCCAGGGACAGTACCTGGTGCCCGTTTTAGACTCGGTAGACCTCGGAACCAAGAGCAATTTTGAAAAAAAAAAATGCCCTGATGCAGATTTGAACCCTATAATTTTGGGTCTAAACCAGTGACATAAATAAACATAACAATAAATCAGCTGTTTAATCTCCGAATTTATCTCTTTTAAAAAGATTTTAATAAGTTCTGTTTTGTTTGTTTGTTTGCTGGCTGGTTGGTTTGTGTAGTACAATGTTTGCCTTAGACTTTAAATGTTTCCTCAAAAGCCAGGCTATTTAGCCAAATTTACTCTGTGGCCAACATTTTAAAAACTAGAATTATTACGGTTCAGAGGCTGAAGCTTCAGGGTAAAAAGATAATTAATTCAAAACAACAGGCAGCGATCCGTGGGTCACTTGCTAAGCCTTCGCGGGCCAGAGTTAGTCCGCTGACCGCTAGTTGAATAGCTATCATATACGCTATCGGGTGACATTTTTCACATACACGCTTTGTGGATCACAATGCAAATTCTTCTTCTTCTTCTTCAGCATTCCGAGCCCTTGAGGTTCATTGTTGCAGATATCACCCGCCTCCATTCATCTCTCTGTTTGTCCTTCTATTTTCAGTTGGTGACACCTACTATTTGCAGGTCTGTCTGGACATTATCTCTCCATATTCTTCTTGGTCTTTCTTGTGGTCTACGACCATTCATCTCTCTTGTGTTTACAGTTTTTACTTCTCTGTCATCTGACATTCTCCCAATATTCCCCAACCAATTCAACATATTAGCTCTCATGATGCCAGTGATCAGTGGTAATTTTAACAAATTATGAATTTCGTTGTTGCTTCTTACTCTCCATTCCCCGGTGTTTGCATCTTTGATGGTTCCAAAGATTCGTCGTAAGAATGTGTTTTAGAAAATGTGTAATAAGGTTTCATCTCTTTCAGCTGTGCTCCAAGTTTCAGAGTCATAAAACACGACTGGTCTTATCAACTTTTTATAGATATTGATCTTGGTGTTGTGAGACAGACACTTTGACGGTACCTGATGTTGATGCAAATGGTGACAAAATATTCCAAAAAAAAAAAATTATTTACTTAGAGTCTGTCACGAGTCCCAAAATAACCTTACAGTTAAACAGGACTTACTGGGTGTATCGTTTTAGTGCATTGAATTTTGTATCAAATTAAGTAGTACAAGCCTGTACTATAAAAACAGTTTTCCAATGTTTTATTTTATTATTGTTGGAGAAAGTAGAAAGGTTGTAGAAGTCACAAAATAAAAGATACATGAGCCGTGACGTTATAATGATTCTCTGTTTCTTTGACGATTGTCTACAGGCCTACATCAGCTGCACGCTGGGGATCTGGAACCTCGGGTTTGTGATGATATGCTACGGTGTAGCCGACGCTATCTGCTCGATCCTGTTTGGGCGACTGGTGCACTACATCGGACACATACCCTTCTTTATTCTAGGTATGTAGGTGTCGTTGTTGTCTAGGGTGTGGATGTCATGTTTGCTGGGAAGGGACACTGGGTCCAGATTTACACATACACACACACATATACGCGCGCACGCACAGGAGTCGCCGTGGTGCAGTGGCTAGATGCTCGTCTGCAAATCAGAAGGACGTGAGTTCGAGTCCAAATGGAACCGGACTTTATTCAAAAATTACCTTGGCTCCCAGGTCGACCCAGCCTTGTGTGGGTACCTGGTGCGATCCTGGGAAGTAAAGGCGACCGATCTGGTGCTGGACACATTACCTATCAAGTGCCGATTAGTCTTTAAAATATAGGCATAGTTCTATATGCCCAAACGCCTAAAGTCGTGGAAAACGGTCCTTTATTTTTTTTCACTTTTACACATACACACGCACACACACACACACACACACCACCCATGCCCTCACACAGGCATCGTATTATGTTATAGTCAGCCCAAATTGAACATTTCACCACAACAAGTTCCACACTATCAACAGCTTAAACCATGAGACAAGGCGGTATCAAAATCTTTGGTACTAATCCGCAACGTGAAACATTTCTTGTTTTTTGTGTGTGTGTTATATATTGACCTTGGCTTCCAGGTCAACCCAGCCTAAATTGAGTATCAGGTAAGATAATGGGAAGTAAAGGCGTTGTCGAGATATTGACGGTTTATGCAGACTGGTCTATTCAAGTGTGTCTAGCGTCCAAAGTCAACTATGCACTAGCGTAAAAATACGAGGATAGTTTATCATACCCGGGCAAGTTTCCGGAGGTGTATAGGAGATACATAGATGATGGCGTTGGTATCACTGAAATGTCTTTGGTTGAGCTTGACCAATTTATTACTTACACCCACAATTTCAATCCCGCTATCAAATTCGCCTCACTGATCTCCACCACTTCAGTAAACTTTCTTGACATCAGTTATCATCGATTTCCCGTGTCTGAAGACCACAGCCTACTACAAACCCACGGATTCTCAGTTATCTCCTCTATACGTCTTCTCACCCACTACCGTGTAAAAATTCTATTCCGTATTCACAGCTCCTTGGACTGCGCAGGTTGTGCTCTAATGATTCTGACTTTTTTGATAAATCAGTTGAACTTCTTGATTTCTTCCGTGCCCGTTTCTATCCGGAACACATTATACAAAGGGCGCTAAATAAAGTTTTAGCAATCATCAGGAGAGATGCTTTCCCTGCCCAACGTAATTCCACTAGTAATGGAACCAAATTGATTTTAGCTTTTCACCCTAACAATGTGGTTGCTTCCAAAGTTTTCTTTCGTCATTTGGACATCCTCTGCTCTGATCCGGACACCAAGATTATCTTTAGTAAGAAACCTAGATTAGTTTATAGACGAGACCGCAACCTTAAAGACATACTTTTCCGAAGCCGACTCCCACCGATCCACACAGCACTTCCTTTCGGAACTACTGAATGCTTACGCAGCACGTGCCAGACATGTCCTTTTGTTGTCCAGACTTCTTCGGTCAGTTTCCCTAATGGTTCTTTCCAAATTAGGGAACCTTTTATTTGCCAATCCCGCAACTTAATTTATGCAATTATCTGCAAACGATGCAGCAAGGCATACATTGGGGAAACTGGCAGGAAGCTAGCTGATCGTTTCCGGGAACACCTCTGCGACGTTGACAAAAAGACACTTAAACCAATCCCTCTCCATTTTAATAGCTCTGACCGCAGAGGTAAAGACGATAAATCTGTCACAGCATTAAAATCTTGCTCTGGTGATCATACTACGCGCCCCGCTTTGGAAAATCGGCATATCCACGGCATAGGCGTTCTTAGTCCAGGTATTATCAATATCCAACATACCTTCATCTAAATAGTTCTACTCTTATCACATTTTAAATGTTAATTATTTTTTTTTTCTTATCTTTTTTTTTTTCATATTATTACTCTATTCGATTTCTTATCAGCCAGTATCATTTATATATCATTAACATTTGTATTTCTTTTATTCCCAGTATTATATTATATAATAACAGTACTACTGTTTATTGTTTTTGTGTGACTATATTTTTTTGCTATCGTTTGTTTTATTTTAATTCATTTATTCCACACCACATTTTTTTAAACGTTGCTCACGTCACCCCTTAGAGTTCTACATACTCTCATCTCCTCGTTGTTACGTTTGTGTAGTTCACTTATGTTTGAAAAAGGCCACCCTGTCGAAACGTTACGTTGTGTTGTTTTGTGCCCGTTTTTCAGCTTTCCCATTTTGTTGAGCCTTTTAGTTAAATTTCTCTGGAATTCCTTATTTACCACAAACTGAACGGACGTTTGCTAAAAGTGATAGATGCTGCATCAGTAAAACTCTACTATATTTTACGTTATGTAAACAGAAAGATCACGTGTTCAATTTGAAGTTACCATGATAGTCACCTAAATGATTCTGAATTTCCGGCGGATACATGCACAGCAACTCGACAATCTAGTTTATGCATTTAGCATGAAAAGGTTTCATGTTGTGCTTCACTATTTGTTGATTTGACTCTGTAGTAATGCACCTGACTAGATCAGCGAATTATGCCAGGCAATAAATTTTGCAAATGTATTGTTTGTGTTCGGAATATTTACATTTCTTTTGATTGTTTCTTTCTTTCTCTTGATTGCGCACTATTATATACTTGCTTTGATAGTATGGTTACTTTATAAGTTCATCTGGGTGTTGTTTATGTTAATGTTTTGTTATTAATTACGCTGATGTTAACGGTTATGCCCGTCTGTACCTTGCGGGTTGCGAACGCAGTTTAATATCCTGGGATACCCAGCTCGATTCCATTTGCGGGCGACTTAACAGCAGACCGACTAGAGTTGATTTTGACAGGGGTTAATAGAGCCGACCGTTCACTACCATATGGCAAACCGGTGAACGTAAAACTGCCTTTAAAACACACTGCCAACAAATGCTGGCGTTGGTTTGGAAAGCTTGACAAAGGATGCCCATCAAACTGGTGTCACCCTTAAACCACGGATGCTTACGGGAATATAATCCGGGCCAGATATGTTGGTGAATGTTGATTTGTACAGGATTCCTAGATCATTCTAATTTAAATACTTTGAGCATTGAAATTTAGCTACCTCAAACCTTACAATGTAGCTACCTCAGACAATGCAATTTAGCTACCTCAAACCCTATAATGTAGCAATCTCAAACAATATGCAATTTAGCTACCTCAAACCTTACAATGTAGTACCTCAAACAATGCAGTTTAGATACCTCAAACATTGCAATTTAGCTGCCTCAAACATTGCCATTTAGCTACCTGAAACATTGCAATGTAGCTAAATCAAACATCGCAATATAACTATCTAAATAATTGAAATCTAGCTGTCTCAAACAATGAAATGTCTCTACCTCAAACATTGAAATCTTGCCACCTAAAATAATTGAAATCTAGCAACCTGAAACTGTGAAATCTAGCTGTGTCAAAAATTGAAATCCAACTTTCTGAAAGGGGCAAAATTTGAGTCACTTCAAGTGTCTCACTGTGTATTTAAGAATTGAAATGATTAAATCGGTAACCTATGGTATCTAGGGCTTGTTATACTTGTGAAGTTGTTGAACAACTGTACGTGTGTGTGTATGTGTGTGTGTGTGTGTGTCTGTGTATCTGTCTGTTTGTATGAATGTGTGTGTGTATGTGTGTCTGTCTGCATGTATGTATGTAGGTATTCACTTTTTAAAATGTGTAGTATCGACCTCATAGAAAAATATCCGTGTTCTAGTAGAGCCATTGTCTGCTACAAATATATCAATTTATCGTTCTTACTTTTTTATTACATTCACTGGTTTTAGTAAATGATTTTATGAGCTCTTTATTCATACACATTGAAGTTACACATCAAACCGAGTCCACCAAGCCGTAATCACAAAATCTACTTTGTTAATGGAGGTAGTGCAGACGTTTCACCTTTCCGCTTTCTTTAGAACCAGCTGCACACACTTCTGATTGTAACTAAGAAATTAAATGATGTTCAAGGCCCATTGGAAGCGACTGAATAGTGTGGAGGCTCATTACAACATTATGATCTGTAGAAAATGGTGCAACAGCAAGTGACCAAGTGATTTGGCAGATACACACTCATAGAAAAGGCAAGACGGACATGTCAAACTGCCACTGGTAACACCAGAAGTGGAACTCGTCATTGGCTGTTGTGGATTGGATTGGCGTGCTTATGGGAATGTCCCGACCGTTGTGATCTAGGTTCTTGAAACTTAACTCACCACCAAGCCGTTTTTTTCTACGATAACTCTTGCCTCTCGCTCTGCATCTTTCCTACATTACAATATTCAAAGCCTTTAATTTTCTTCTCTGTTATTAATGTCCTGTGCTTGTTTCCGTTTCCTGTTAAGATAAAGCAAGCTCTTATAACCTGCTACAGCAGTCTTTACAGCTCCCATCTTTTGCTTAACCTGTTGTTCATTAGAGGCTAGAGGAATATATTTTCTGGTTTCAGCGTTCGTGACACATGGATCTCTACAGATTGCGTTTCTCTACTGGGTTCCCAGTAAAGACGAGCCAATTGTATTCTACGTGTCTGCCGCCCTCTGGGGAATGGGCGATGCCGTCATACAGACACAGATTAACGGTAAGTGCAAGGCACACAATCCTGGTCATTTAATGTTGTTGCTCAAAATAATTTCTTCAGATGTGCACGAAAAACTCAAGTTACGAAACAAGACTGAAGTCAAGAAGTAGACGAGCAACCATAACTTTACACGGGCGGTGGAGGCAAAGAAAAAGGAGAAAATAATTTTTAATGCCATGGTTCGAGTCTTGTTGAAAACCAAGTTGTCTTGCCTGAGTTATATATGGCACAGAGAGCTCCTACTTTTGCAACATTTTATAATCTTGTCTAACTAGATTTCTAAAAGTAAATTCAACAAGGTCGCATACGCCCCATCAATACTTGACTGTGCAAATGATTACTGGCGTCGACCTGCCTGGTTTCGAAAAGTACCCAGAATCAATGCCAAAGACCGGCATTAGACAATACATGGTCCTGCACTCTGCTGAAAAACGACAGTTCATCCTGATAGAGCTGACCATGCCGCACGAGTCGCGGATGGAGGAAAATCTCCCCTACAAGCTCGAAAAGTACGGTGAGCTGGTGGCCAATCTGAGAAGAGATAAGGTGTACCAAGTAAAAATCATCGCCATCGAGGTAGGCAGAAGAGGGCTTATCTCCACGTTCACATACAATGTACTAAAGCATCCGGGTTTGCGAGGAAAAGTGCGTAAACAGGCGCTAAAACAACTGAGCAAAGCTGCGGAAAGAGCTTCGAGCTGGTTTTGGACGCAACGGAACGTCGCGCGGAATGGACCTAGGTAGACTGGTCAGAGCTCCTAGTGGAAAATGAGCTTTTCATTCCTAAAAGCCAAAGTATCCGATAAATGTCTGTCAGTGTCTATCTACAAAATGCCAGAGTCTAACTTCCGTCCAAAAAAACGACCGTAAGCTTGTCATTCTGGTCGTAAAGGTAGGCAACTAATTTGCTACCGCAGCTTCAATGTATAACACCAGATCTCACAATACCTGTCACCATTTCGTCTTGTCATCACTTCGTCTTGTCCCTGTCCGAACGTCTGATAAAATGCAGCAGATGATGTCTGAGGCCTGGAGAAAAGAACCAAAGTAAGGTCTCAAACAAGACTGACATAAAAAAGAAAACAAAAGCAAGGACCGGTAAAAGAGCAGATCGATTAATTCTGTGATGACTTTTAAAGACTTGGGTGCCCTGATAACACCTGATGGAAGATGTACTCAAGCATTTAAATGTAGAGTATCTCCAGAAAAGGTATCATTTCTTGTTCAGCTGAGGTGTGAAGGACAATTCTCAAGAGGTATATAAAATTTCTATCCTGATATACGGATGTGAAGCAGTGACATTTGGCCGATTAGAAAATAACTGCGGGGAAGCGGCCTACAGATGGTTATACAGACGGATGGCAAGGCCACCCTAGGCCGATTAAAAAAAAAAAAAATTAAGAATTTTTGCAAAGAAATTTTCAAGTCCTTCGTCTGCCTGCTAGTTGCCTTAGTCACCTGCATAATCTGGAGAAAATATCCAAATGAAGCTAACTACCAAAGAGCTTACAAGCGATGTTTGTCACTCTCAGCGGAGCATACCTGTCTCCCTCTTTCTCGTCATGCGTTTATGGGTCTGTTACCTTCACACCATGTGTGTGTGCAGCTGGTTTTCAAGCCAACAGAACGCTGCAGTAATTGCCTCCACCTCGATTCTCAAAACCAGATGTTGTGGTATCACATGCCAGACTGTGTTGCTCTAAAGGACTCCATTCACTTTTTTGATTGCAGGAGTTTTTGACAGTTCTGTAGGTCGTCAGTGCAGCTAGGAAGTGTCGTTCTGTGTGTGACGCCCTAAGCAGGCGAAAAGCACATTGAGAAAACCCCATGCAATGAAACCAACATCTCGCATTTACACTACATTTAGACTGAAATAATAAATTGTGAACAAACTTATAAAAGACAGCAGTAATTTATCTATAAACTTCTGTCGTCTCCAGCTCTGTACGGACACATCTTCCATGACAAAGCCGAAGCAGCTTTTGCCAACTACAGACTCTGGGAGTCACTGGGCTTTGCCGTGACCTTCGCCTACAACGACTATCTCTGCACAGACACCAAGCTCTACATCTGTCTCGGCGTCCTGGCTGCTTCCGTCGTCTGCTACACAATGGTGGAAGCAAAGCTCTACTACGATCATAAAAGGTCTGCAGATATCTCAGTTCCAGGGAAATAGAAAACATAACATACCTATTTTGTATGTCTGATTTAGGCTGAATATGATCTGGTTTCTCCATGTGAATTCGGGGCAAAGCTGAAGATAGCTTTTTTAATGTGAGACTACGTACACTTTTTAATTAGAAGAGCTCGTTGACTTAATAATTGACCGTGTTTGCGAACATTTATACGAATTCAGTCAAAACTTTGTAGGAATTCTGATGATCCTTTTGTTGTGTTAACTCACCCGCAGCATTCTTACAATAACTTGCGTATCAAGTAGGAGTCACGGTACTCCTTGGTTAGACGCTTGCCTACCTATGTAAAGGTTTTGTGTTCTTCTTCTCCTTGATGTTCTGTTTCTTATATTTAGGTCACACTGTCAGGTGGACTGCCTCTATAAACTCGCATGCCTGTTGCAGGGGGTCCACAGTTCTTCTTCATCGCTTGCTCTGGTCGCTTTGATCTTGGGGTCAGGTTTCTTTTTGTAGGTTAAGTATAGTGGGCAGAATGTGCTCGTGTGCTTGTGGTTTCGCCTGAAATGCATACTGTGGGAACTGTATTGTCGTCATTTATGCATGTGTTAAATTACTGCTTCTGTTGAGTCTGCTTATCGTATCTTGGTTTGTTCTCTCCGCGATTCCTTGTAGTTCCCCTTGATACATGACTGCATTTCTGGCGGTCTTGAGTTCAAATCCGTACTAGTGGAATCTTATGTTTGTGTCTATGAGAGTTATTGATTAACATTGGTTTCTAGATCATTAACTGGGTCCCAGGAAAAATTAAAGCAGGTAAAGACAGCAAATGGGCTGTTGACCACATACCCAATCCAACGTCGGCTGTTCTATACAAACATAAGTCTAGCCCAGTAAGAGAACAAATTTAAGGAGTCCAGGAAATCTATGAATATTTCATTTGATTGTTCACTGCAGTGATGGGTTGTCGAGTCAATTACAGTTGAACTGTAAGTACTAATTCCATCTCCTGTCTTCACCACCCATGGCTGGAGGGTACACTAGGCTATACTTGATTTAGCCGCGACAGATGACCTAGTTATAACTTCTTCAGATTTGGAAGACGGTATCAGAGATTTGTTTGTTGGTTTGCCATCCTGGAGAAGGGGCGGGGGAAAGCCTGTACTCTCAGTGTGTCACATTTTTTGTAGCCTGGAGAAAACGGATATATAGTAAAGGAAAAACAGATTGTGGTAGACCCATGCGTTCACAGACCCAAACCCGTATTATTCCAAGTATAAAAGGACTCGAGATTGCTTGATATTCCCCTTGAAACTTCTTCACGGCTCCCAGGGGGTAAGGGGCGCTATGTTTGATCTAGGCTCACCTGATTTGAAGTCAGCTGCAAGAGATTTCGAAGTAGACTGCTGTGCGTTGATTCTGGCAATTGTATAAGCGTTTTAAAATTTTATAATTGGACCAACTGACATGGGAAACTCATTATACTTGTCAAGTGACGTGCCGATTGGCGTGGGCGATCATGCATCTCAGCAACCTACTATCTTCAACAGCATGTATCAGTTCGTGTGCGGACAACTCCCCAAAAACCATGAGTTGTAACACCTCTTTAACTCTGCTAGACAGTCCCTTACAGAAAATGCATCAATAATACGTTCATAGGAAATCCAGTGAAGGCAAGAGGTGCAGATTTTACGTCTTTCTCAGCTTCCCTTTGGGCCTCTGATGCTAAGTCCCCCTGGGGCTCAAAGAGTTAAGAAGACGAATGTAAATAACATCACACTCAGATATGCAGACAATCAAACCTGCAAAGAACTGCACCTCTGTGGTTATATATATGTCAGACTTGTGTGTAAACGAGCCTCATGTGAAATGATATGGATGCGTAAATTAAGCAAACCTTTATATTTCTATACGATAATAATATGTTTTGAGCATGTATAAATGTAAGTTACTAGAGTCTTTCTTGATATGTGGTGTGAGTGTAAATTAGTTTTACGTGACACGTATGTGTGTGTGTGTGTGTGTGTGTGTGTGTGTGTAAATTACGGGAGTCTTGCATATTATCTGTGTAAATTACATGAACTCTAAGAGCACACAATATATTTTATCTGCGTTAATAATAAATTAAATTAAGTTTTAAGTAAGTAATAGAATAGAATTGCTCGTGCCATATTTAAAAATACAACTCCAAGAATCTTAAATTCTTGTGTGTATTTCTTTTTTCCTTTTCACTACATGGACCGGTTTGACTTAAACATCTGTTCTGAAGAGCTTTGCTTCTGCCTTCTCCTCACAATGTTTCAGTACTGTCACACTTTCTGGTCATTCCAGACAATGCTATTACTGCTTATTTTAGCTTTGTTGCAATGGTATCTCTTTGCAAATGTTTTTGACATCATCCATTTGGCAACCTCTTCCTTGATTAACAGCAGAGGAAAACAAGGACAGCGCGCCGTGTCGTAACTCATTTAGACTCATGCAAGTTCTAGCTCTCGAGTCGTATTCCAAACAAAGATCTTTACCAAGCAAAATTGTTCGCTTCTA